CAATAATTTTGTGGAGTTAATTCTTTTAACTTAAAAAAAATTATTGAAAATAGTACATGAATTCACTCTATTTTCTATTTTAAGCCACAAAATATACTTTTTATTTACCAAGGTTTTTTTTTCTCTTTTATTCTAACTTGTAATAGTAAATATTCTTTCCCAAATTATTATTTGTTAACCATTTCTCACCTATGGATTGTCACATGACATTTCCATAGCCTCTGCCTATCCTAACTTACATTCAGCTGTTACTTATGTAGCTTTGGGATCTTAGTCATAAAGGTATTTCTTCCAAATGGGCAGATTGTAACATACACATACCTTCTCTAGCTGTTTGGTTCTTGTCCATGTCCTCTCAGGAGTCCTCCACAGAGGACAGATTTATGATGCTACAGGTCTTCCTTTATGGGTTTTAACTTTTTTGTCCATCCGTTATTTCTATTTTTATGTGCAAGTCATTGCAAGTAATATGTTATAGTCTACAAACACCCATTATGTATTTCTCTATTGCCCTTTGGGTCAATCACAATGTTATTTCTTCAGTGATCACAACGTTCCATGATTCAAAGTCAACAGAAGAATATTGGTATTAAAAAGATGTCTTTTCAAAGATAGTGTCTGAAATGTCATATCCTTAGACCCAGAGAATGATTCAGCTGCTGGACATAGACCCCAGTGAGGCCAGTGACAAAAAGAAATGCCTCGTGTATACCAAAATATTTAGAGCAGCATTTTGTAGAGTAACAAAAAAAAAATGGAAAAAATGTAATGGAATATACTGTTCTCTCAAAATTATGAATATGATAAATTAGGTAAGCATGTAAAGGCCTAAATAAATTGATGCAAAGTGAAGTAAGCAGAACAAGGAAAAATTATACATGATTATTATAACAATGTATAACAGGACTTTCCAGGGTGTGCTCAGATCACCTAACATGAAGGTTACCTGGATGGATCCTCTACAAATTGGTAGGACCCAGAGAATCTCCATGTTAGATGGTGACAGCACACCTAGGCAAGTCTCATTACAAATATAAATGTAAAGAACAAAAAAACCCACAAAACAAGCAAAACTGAATCCTGCATAACTATATTAATCAAGTTTGGTTCTAAAAGAATGACATAAAAGAGACCTTTTTCCTACCCTCTACTTTTTTATGAAAGGGGGAAACCATGAATGAGGAACACTGCATATAATGCTAAACATTTTTATTGTGTTGGAGAGTTTTGTTTAACTTTTTGTTTTTAAAGAAAAACATTTGTTGTAAAGGATGGCTTTTTGGTAGAGAATAGAAGGAGAGATATAATGGCAAATATAGGTGATGTTAAAATACCAATAACAACTCATTTTTAAAAATAGATGGCTGTCTTAGGTGTGATTTTATTGTGTTTTTAAAAAAGGAAAAGGAGGAGAAAAAGAATATACAAGGGAAATAATGAACTGATTGGAACTGACTACTGATTATTAGAGTGTGTCAGAAAAAAGTGTACAAGTACATGGATAGGGAGCACCTCATGAAACTCACTTACATGGACTTGACAAAGGAATGTCTAATTCGCACACATTAGAAATACCCAATAGAGAATGGAGAAATAGGCAAGGACTTGGGGGAAATGACTCAGAAGCAAAACAAACCAAGAGTGGAGGAATAAAGGGGGTATTAAAATTAGAGAGGGAAAGGGTAAGTCAAGGGCTTTCCCAGCTCGAAATAGCTCAAGAGAACCAGTGGTTAAATTGTTAGGGTGAGCATTTATACTTTGGAAAATCAGTAAATGTTACATATCAGGGCTTCATTTATTGTTTCATTGATTGTCTAGAGTTGAGAAAATGATAGAGTAAATATTAATAATGCAAATTAAACCTAAGTATATCATGCCTACGTTTCTTTTCCTAGAGAGCTGATTGTTGAATATTTACCAGCACAACTCTGAGTTAATCTTAGTTTTCTGAGCCTGGGCTGGGGGAAGAGAATAAGTATCGAGTCTGGATACTTGAGTAGTTTGGACTACTCAAATTATGAATTTCTAGCACTGCTTTCATTGCCTTTCTTTTCCCACCATCTTTTTCTTTATAAAGAGGGAAGTGGAGGGGCAGCTAGGTGGCATAGTGGATAGAGCACCGGCCCTGAAGTCAGGAGGACCTGACTTCAAATCTGGCCTCAGACCAAACACTTGATACTTACTAGCTATGTGACCCTGGGCAAGTCACTTAACTTCAATTGCCAAAAAAAAAAAAAGAAAGAAAGAAAAAGAAAAAGGGAAGTGGAGAAAAAGAAAGCAAACTTTAGTAAAGAGATATGACAGAGGGAAAAATACACTCTGCAATTAAAATCATGAATGTGACTGAGATGAATTCACCTACAAAATGGAGGAAGGTGGCATAATTAATTAGAAAACAGAATCAAATCAGTCCAAGTGTTTACACAGAATTTAAAACTATTATTTGACCCTTACTACCTTTCTAGTCTTCTTATACCTTATTACCCTCCAGGAAAGTACATCGACCTACTTGCAGTTCCTCAAACATGATGCTTCCTTTTCCATTTTAATGTCTTTGCATTGCCTGTTAACCCATTAGGAAAATGACCCTTCATTTCTGCCTTTGAGTTTACTTGATTTCCTTCAAAATGTGCCTCACACTCTATCTTCTTCAGTAGATCTTTTCTTATTCTCCACTCCATTCCCATCTACTAATACCTTCCCCTTTCAGAATGCCTTTTA